ATCTATACATAAGGGATTTTTTAATTTTCTTTTGAGATTGCTTCAGTGATTTTCCTTAAAGTTAGCACATTCTTTGCTTTCTACTTAAATTCTCAAGGACAAGGTAGGTGCTCATTCTTGCTCCTTATTCTTAAATAAGGTTATTGATGCTTATGGTTTTGTTCTTCATGTTACTTATGATGTACTGATTTTAATTAACCTAAATATATGGAAATATTCTTTCATTGTTTACAGCTTATATAGTTCCTTGTGCAGATGTGCAAAAATAGTTCATTAGTAATCACTAACTCATATATTCTTTCTTTACACTGTGATTCTTAGTCTTTTTTTTTTTTTTAAGACAGAGTCTCAATCTGTTGCCTGGGCTAGAGTGCTGTGGCGTCAGCCTAGCTCACAGCAACCTCAAACTCCTGGGCTCAAGCAATCCTCCTGCCTCAGCCTCCCAAGTAGCTGGGACTACAGGCATGCACCACCACACCTGGCTAATTTTTATTTTTTCCCTATTCCTAGTTGGCCGGCTAATTTTTTCTATTTTTAGTAGAGATGGGATCGTGCTTTTGCTGAGGCTGATCTCTGACTCCTGACCTCAATCTTCCCACTTCGGCTCACACCTGTAATCCTAGCACAGGATTACAGGTGTGAGCCACCGTGCCCGGCCTGTAGTCTTTCTTATATGGAACTGTGCTTTCCTCTTATCAAATAAATAAGCAGAAAGTAGAAATTATGTAAATAAATAATTTCCATTAGCTGCTTCACTGACTTGATAAATAGGCATTTGGTCTATTTTATGGGACCAGCATGCTTCTGCTGCACAACTCTGCTATCTATTTGGTCTATTTTAATTAATATTTTTCAAAATGTTAAACTAACAAGTGCCTCTTACTGTTACTTCATTTTGCAGGTAACATTGGAAGGTCCTGTTGTATTTGAATGGGTGATTTTTGTTGTTGAAATTTGTTTTACTGTTGAGACTCTGGTGACACCGAGTTTTATGTTGACTTTCTCTAGGTGTTTTCACAGTCCTGTGTTTGGTATGGAGAATGTGGAATTGCATCTGGGGATAAGAGGTACAATTGCAAATATTCTGGCCCACCAAAACCATTACCGAAGGATGGGTATGACTTACTGCAGGTAAGTTCATTATCTTGAGCGTTGGCAGAACAAAATCCTGATCACAAGAGCCTCTGTAATTATGCCTTAGATGTTATTGCAAGGTAGAGGTGGAGGTGAGACTAATAGGCTTAAACCTTATCCCAGACTCTAACCTGTAGCACACAGTGGTAGAGAAGATAACAACATAACTCCAAAGGCTTAATTTTTGGGAGGCTGACTTGGTACCTCTCATCAAGTTTCCCAGCCCGGGTGCAGTGGCTCACACCTGTAATTCTAGCATTCTGGGAGGCTGAGGCAGGAGGATTGCTTGAGCTCAGGAGTTTGAGACTAGCCTGAGCAAGAGTGAGACCCTGTCTCTACCAAAAAGAAAGGGGAAAAAACCCTGGCCAGGCATTGTGCCACATGCCTGTAGTCCCAGCTACCTGAGAGGCTAAGGCAGAAGGACCACTTGAGCCCAGGAGTTGGAGGTTGCAGTGAGCTGCCATGATGCCACTGCACTCTACCCAGGGCAATGGAGTGAGACCTTTTCTCAACAACAACAAAAAAACAGGGCAACTTAGCACCCCTCCTCACAACCTCTGACCCCTTCATACAAAAAAATAAAATAAGTTTCCTAATAGCAGGTTACTATTTGGAGACCAACATTGGTACCTCAAATGTTGCTTTTTGCATCTTATGCAAGATATGTTAGAAGTTAGCTTTTTTTAGTTCCTAGATATCAGGTTGAATGGACTCTGCTGCTAAGTGGCTATAGTGACTTCCTTGTCCCCTGTTCATTTTAGTGTTTCCTCTGTGTTCCACTGAAAGCCTGTGAGTCTTAGCTGTGTCCAGGATTCTGCTTTCTGTTGTCGTTTTTACCATTCTTGATGCACAGGGACATTAGAAAAGAACTGGAAAAATCACAGTGAAAAGACTGGTTTTAGAGGCTTAAGTAATCGAAAATCAAGTTGACATGATAGCAGAGCTCTAATTTCATCAGAGTTATTAAAGGCTTTGACTTTCCCTGGAGTGACTAATGAAAATAGTAAATAGCATTCTGGTTGAATTCAAAAAAAAAAAAGCAAAGAAAACTAAGAGGTAAAATGATTGTTAAGAGAGGAGCGTGAGCTTCCAAATAAGAGAGAAATTAGAAGTGTCCCTACTACCTCCTCTTGTGAATCCCTAGTTTATAAATAGTAAATCTGATAGCCTGTAAAGAATTCTGCAAGAACTGTGCAAATACAGTATGTGTCTTACCCTTGTATACCTAAAAAGGATTACATGAATGAAGTTGTCTTATTTCATTGAGGAATGTTGTCCTTATTTTAACTGCACTAGTCCAATATCTGTGCTCTCTCACCTGAAAGGAACATTGTCCAGGATTCTTCTTTGACAATGTCAGTCTCTGTTGTGATGTTCAGCAGCTTCGGACACTGAAAGACAACCTGCAGCTGCCTCTACAGTTTCTATCCAGGTAAGTCAACTGCCAGGCAAACAGAACAAATGGGTTTTAGGTACTTGTTAGCCAGTAATGTTCAGATTTCCTTTTAAAAGTCAATTTTCTGTTTTATTCTAAGAAAGCACTCTTATGACTTGTTAGAAATAAAGAGAACATAATAATGATCAGGCTTGGTTCTCCTCCCAGTGCATTCAGAGTTGATACTTGGTTCCTCGGATACGTCCTCACCCACAGGGTGTCTGCACTGTGGATGAGTTCCTTTCAGACTTGAGCTTCTGTGCACTGTGGAGAGGAAAGGGTCCTGGTGGTCCTGCTTAGGTCCTTGGCCTGAGACTCATCCGTGCCATCCTTTGTGTCTGCAGTCCCCAACCCCCGGGCCGAGGCCTGGTACCAGTCTGTGGCCTGTTGGGAAAACAGGGCCGTGCATCATCACCTGAGCCCCTCCTCCCCCGCCCCGCCCCGCCCCATCCATGGAAAAATTGTCTTCCATGGAACTGGTCCTTAGTGCCAAAGAGGTTGAGAACTGCTGCTCCGTGTCACCTCCACCTCCTCGGTACCTCTGCTTTCCATATCGTTCTTGTCTCTTTCTATGGCGAAACGATGTGCTAGGGTCAGGTCCTAATTAGGGCTGGCCTCGTGTAACTGTTAACAGGCTTGTCCTGGTATAGTTGCCTGGTTTTGTCAAAGTTAGTTTCCTGTTGTCCATGACCCCAGGCAGTGAAAAAGGGCTACCTGATAGATGTTCTTCCCTAGGCCTACCCGGCAATTCTCAAATGTGTAAAAGAACAAGCTGGGGTGTTCTTTAGAACAGCAGATTGTGGTATCTTTCCAAATTTTTCAGGCTTCAGCACACTGGTAAAGATGTATGGGGAGCAAATATAAAAGGGAAAATGCTTCTCTGTGCAGGTATCGCTGCAGGTGATTGAGCACAAGTCAGCTTCCCTGGAGAAAATTCTGCTTCTTACCAGAAGTGGCTGATAGAGAGTGTGGAAAACTACCACTAAGTTGTTTTTTTCAGGACAACATACAATATAATAATAGACCAAAAGTTAAGAATCTTTACCTGGTTGATCCTGCCAGTAGCATATGCCTGTCTTAAAGATTAAGCCAATATAGAAAAAAAAGAAGAAGAAAAGTTAAGAATCTAATTGGGCCAGCATATCCTGTGCTAAGGCTGCTGGGCGTTAGTGGAGCCGAGTCGGAGCCTTTGTCAGTCTAAACACATTCAGCATCCACTCTAGGTGAGGCATCATGGACATACACGTCAAAAGATACCCTGTTACCAGAGGTGCCAAAGCTTGATTTATAATAATGAATAAAAGAAACAGCCAGATATGTGGAATAATATACAGCTGTCAAAATTGAAGATTGTGGAGATTATATATAGTAATGTGGGAAAGAGTTTGAAAACTGTGTAGCCCCAAGAGTGGTTCCTATTAGAATAGTGTGATCATAGTTTCTGGTCTTGTCACTTCCTGTGAAAGAGAGTCTGTGTGTGTCTGTCTCCTTCCCTAGAACAGAGGCTCTCGAAGGCTAGGACATACCTTCCTCATTCTGTGCCATATGTGGTCACTGGGACTGAATCAGAGTAGAAAGTAGTCAGATTGGGTGTGTTGCAGGAATGCAAGTCTAATGAAGCAATAGCTTTTGCAGGTAACAGTGGACCAAAGGGAAGAGAGAGCTCTTTTGCCACATAAGTCAACATTAGGAACTTAAACTTTGAACCTGAATTCTGAAATGCATGTAGGCAGAGAATGCCACTGCTGTTCTCTTTATCTTTGCAAGTCATGGGGATGTCCTCTCGTGCTTTGGGAGGGCCTAGGGATTTTCTGAGGCTTGGAAGAAAGCCCTTAAATAGGTATAAGATGAAAATTCTCATGGTATTTCTCATTTTTTACTTTTTTTTTTCTTATTCAAAATTATCACCATGATACTCTTAAGTCCCTTTAGCTCCAGGACAAAGAAAGCACATCTCTAAATTACAAAGTACAAAATACAGAGAAGCATCCTTCTGTTTCTGAAATTACATCTGGACAAAATAATTGTGATATTGTAATTAGGGCAGTTTTTAAAGATGTGCCTTTGGCCGGGCGCGGTGGCTCAC